CGGGTATCCGTTCCGTGCTGACGTTTTTTTGGGGGGGAAACGGATGTGCCAATTTTTTCTGTCTTATCCAAATTCCCAAGCTCACCATTACCGCCAAGATCATGGCTCTCTATGGACTCATCATCATCATCAATCGTCATCATCGTTATCATCATCGTCGTCATCGTCATCATCACTATCATCATCATTCTCATCGTTATCACCATCGTCATCACCTTCGTCATCGTCATCACCATCATCACTTTCGTCCCATCATCATGACCAAAAACGTCGCCGCGGTTCAGAAACAGCGGCTCCGGAGAGACCGCCCACAAGAGGCCACGGGCCGGCAGACCCCATCGTGCCAGCCATTGTGAACAACGGCCCTATCGATATCAACCATCGCCTCTTGCTGACGACGGCACACCCTGGCGTCGCCGCTCCGACCGCGCCGCGAGACTTTCCAGCCTCGCCCAGACGAAGTCAACAGCAAGGGCGTCTTCGGCGGCTCTCGCGCTCGTTCTCTCGCTCAGCGCAGATGCCCGCTCCGCCAAATGCTACTGCTTCCTCGTCATCATCGTCGTTCTTCCATCTCTCGTCGCAAACATCTCGTATGGCGTCCCACTCGTCTGCGCGCTGTTCGGACGGCGCCAGTACGACCTCGACCGAATCGACCGACTCGGGCGTCTCCCTCCCGCCCGCACCCTCGTCGCCAACTAGGGCTCCGTCATCGTCGTCGTTGTCGTCATCATCATCTTCACACGCATTTGTCGCTGACCCTCGTCCGCCGGAGGCTCCGCCTGTGCGCACTCCGCGCAGCCACATGATGTGGCTGTTACGCGATCGCTGCGAGCCGGCCGAGATCCAAGGTGTCATGTCGCGCAGCAAGATACTCCCCCACTCATCCGCACCGCTCTCGCGGGCCTTTCACGGCACAATCATTGCGCTCGTTGATAGTCCACTTCCGGGTACCGCCATCCTTGGCCTTCTGACTCGCCTCGTCGATGCTGCCCTCTTCATCGCTCTGGCGTTTACGCCGCATTGCCTCTGCGATGCCCTCCATACCGTCCCGCTTGCCATCGTCCCGACCGCTTTGGCCACCACGGTCCTGCCGCTGATGGTAGCCATGGCTGTTGCCGTTGCAGTGGCATGCCGCCCAACTGGGCCGCCTGCTGTGCTCGTTGCGATCCTCCGCCTCTCCGGCGCTGTCATCTACGGCCCGCTCTTCCTCCCGGTTCTGGCACTGTGTGTAGCAGGCGCCAGCTCTAGCGCTGGTGGCCTAGCTCCCGTCTTTGGTCTCGCTATCGCTGCACACCTGGCCCTTGGCATCATTACTGCCTTTCACGTCGACACCTACGCCACCGATGAGCTTGCTCCGGGTGTCTTTGCTGCCATCACCGGTGGCTGCGCTGTTATCGCCCGCGTTCTCGCTGCCGTCGCTGTCGTCGTCGTCATGGAGCTGTGCTCGTCTGTCTCTGCCGCCGCCACTGTTGCTGTTACTGCTGCGGCCACTGCCATTGCCCATGCGCGCCTCGCGCCGTCTTGCCGCCGCCGGGTCGACATCCTCACCTCGGCCTGCTACGCCAGCATCAGCACCGCCGCGCTCGCCCTGGCCATTGCGCCGGGTGCTCCTCGCATCCTAGCTCTCTGCTCGTTGCTTCCCGGTCTTGTCGCCGGCACTCTCTGTGCCCTCTCCTTGCACAGCCCAGCGCCCATCGCTGCTTTCGTCATCGATCGCCGGTTGGCACCCATCCTCGGTCGGGTTGGCGTTGATGTCATCCGCAACCTGCGCTTGAGCCGGCTCATCCGCTATCCACTCATCCGCGCCCGCTACGCTACCCATCTTTACCTTGTCCACAAAGAGTTTGACGCCGCTGCGGCAGTCTTTCGTGGCCTCGCTCACGGCCGAGCGCTGCCAAGCGAGAGCGTTGTTGCCCTCATCGCCGCATGGAGTGCGGAGTTCCGGCGCAAGGTTGCGAGAATGTCACGCCCTGGCCATTGCGCCGGGTGCTCCTCGCATCCTAGCTCTCTGCTCGTTGCTTCCCGGTCTCGTCGCCGGCACTCTCTGTGCCCTCGCCTCGCACAGCCCAGCGCCCATCGCTGCTCTCGTCATCGATCGCCGGTTGGCACCCATCCTCGGTCGGGTTGGCGTTGATGTCATCCGCAACCTGCGCTTGAGCCGGCTCATCCGCTATCCACTCATCCGCGCCCGCTACGCTACCCATCTTTACCTTGTCCACAAAGAGTTTGACGCCGCTGCGGCAGTCTTTCGTGGCCTCGCTCACGGCCGAGCGCTGCCAAGCGAGAGCGTTGTTGCCCTCATCGCCGCATGGCGCGCCGCCATCGGCGTGCCTTCCGCCGTCTGTGCCATTCACCTCGAGCTCGCTCTCCGCGCCGTCTCAGAGGGCCGTCCGCAGTCATCACTGTGGCGACTGCCGACCAGCACGCGCCCTCGAGCGATGCCATCCCTCTGCTGCTCTTCCATCTCCGTCGCCAGCTGCGCGCGGCATCGCAGCTTGCACCCGTCCATCCCTCCGGATCAGAGCCTTCCGCCGTCATCCTCGCTGCTGTGACGCCGTCTATCCACACCTCAGCTGCTGCCGCCTATCCTGCCTTTCCTCACACAGTGCAGCGCCTACTGTGGGTGCTCTATGGCGGCGATCCGCTCCAAAAGGCCTCAACCGCGCCGGTAGCCGTCGTCAATGCCTTTATCGCCGACGCAGCCGCGCTTGAGCTCGACAAGGCCCACACAGCCATCCTCGCCGACGTCATTCGTGGTCCAAGCAGGATCTCGCCCGCAAATTCGCTGTTGGCGATGGCCCTGGCTCTGCGGCGGCCATGGATGGAGCCGACCCTGCATCCTCGAGTCAACTCCTTTGCCTCAACCCGCTCGATGCAGTCCAGCATAGTTAGATCGCCGTCGTCGGTCGGCACTATCGCCGCTGCTGCGCCAGGCCTCATCAACGACGCGCCGCTGCTGGGGGCCGCCGACGACGTGGCCTCGCTGGTCGCCCGTGCACTGTGCGCCTGGCTTGCCGCCCGCACCCGTCGCACCCACCCGGTCACCACCGCACTGATGGTCGAGCAGTATGCGGCCATCGATCCGGCGAGCCACGCCATCCTCCGGCACGTTGTCACCGCCCATGTCTCGGGTCTCCTCGTAGTAGCGCACACCACCGCTGAGGAGCCTGGGCCAGTCCTCGATCCCGAGCTCGGTCCCTGGGGCGCCGCAGGCATCACCGACATGCTGTACGCGTCGACGGTGCCCGGCGCCGAGACGCTCGATGGCGTCTACGCCGTTCGGCTCTACACTTGCCCGCAGGCCGCGACGGATGTTGGTGGTCTGCCCATGCGCGCCGTCCTGGGCCAGGCCGCTGCAGGCATCTGCCCGATGTGTCTCCACGCTGATCTCGGCGCCAAGCGCGACGCCTCGCTCTCCTCACTCACGCTCACCCTCGACAACCTCCCCATCCCAGCCATCGCCCCTCGGCCGCCGCCTCCGTCGACTCGCCGCCGGTCTCGCCCACAGGCGCCGGCTTCTCCTGTGGCTCTTCGATCCACTCGGCCTTGTGGGCCATGGGCATGCGCGGGTCAGGCGTCTCGTCCGACGACCCCGATAGCATGCAGCCGACCTCGTACTCGGGCTCACGCATCGCCCTCACCTACGACACCCTTGGTCGCACTGCCACAGACTCATCCCACGACGAATCGCACAGTGGGCGGCGCATCCCGGCCTCGCAACTATCGCTCACACTCCAGGCCTCATCCGCCTCCACATCCACCCATCATCCGCCGCCAGGCCTTAGCACAGTCTCGCTGCCGTCCTCTCCTGCTCCTTCGACAGCACCCAAGCCGGCCCAGTCCCGCCCAAGGTGCCCTAACGTCTCACCACTCAATAGCCACGACATGCCGCCGCTCCCCTCGCCATCGCCGGCTCAGCTCTCGTGTCGCAGACTCTCATTTCCTGTCCGCGGGCAGATGATGATGTCGGGCTCCACCGTCGGTGCCTCGGCGCGCGCGCACCGCGCCGAGCCCGAGCCCGAGCCCAGCTCGCAGCCCCCCACAGACCCGGCCCGGCTCCAGCTCCCGCCGCTCCCGCCATCACGCCGCGTATCCCACACCGGCCGCGCGACCCGCAAGGTTGCGCCGGCCGCCGCCACTTCCAGCTCGTGCTCGGGCAGCGAGGCGACCATGATGTCGGCGCCCGAGTTTGCGCCCCACCATCCAGCGCCTCCTGAACGTCCGCCGACGCCCGAGCCTCCCGCCAGACTGGCGAGAGCCTCGAGCGTACGCAGCATGCAGCACGCGCCGAGCGATGGATGCGCGGCGCGAGTTGTTCGGGCCATCCATCAGCGGGTGGCCTTTGTCGACGGATCGCCGGCTGACTCTCTGGGCACCGCCCACTTTCTGCAGCTGGTGGCGGCTGTTGGCCGGCGCGCGCCACTCACCGTCCTCGTCGCAGCCTTCAAGGCTGTTGCCGCTTCGGCCGCCCCGCCCTTCTCCACGATCTCTTTTGCTCGTGCGTCCTTCAGCGCCCTGCTTGACGGCGCCATCGCCGCGGGCGTGCTCGTCGCCGTCCGCGCCGCTCGCGCTGTTGCCTTTGCTCATGCCGTCGAGTGGTCAGCCGTCTACGCCACGACTCCGCTCTCGCATGCCGAGTGTATGGCCTACCACATCGGCCGCGCTATGGCCGCCGCTGGCGATCCGCGCGTCGCCCACCCGCTTGCTGTCCTTCCCTACGCCCGCCGCGCCTGGGACATCGCCCTCCTCCTTGACCTTCTTGCCGCTCTCTGTGCCTCCCGCGCCACACGCAGCCCGGCCTACGCCCGCGAGCGCCTGTGGCTCCTCGATCGCATCCGCCCACCGTCGGCCCCTCCGGTCCTTACCCCCATGCTCCGTGCCCAGGCCGCCATCGCCTCGTCGCGCTACTCGCCGGCCATCCCCACCTTTGCCGAGTCGTTCCTCGATCCGCCGCCCGTGTACCCCGGCGACAACACCACCTGTGCTAACGCCATCGCTGACTACGCCACAGCCTGTCTTGAGGAGCTCGAAGACGGTGCTATCGGGTCCGACGCCACCTCACACCGCGCCATCGCCGCTGTCCTCAGCCTCCTTGCCGCCTTTCACTTTCCGCCCGCTCGGCACGCCGCTCTTGAGACCCGCCTCACCCTCATCGCCGGCGTCCGTGTCGCCCCGTACGACATTGCCGCCGCTGTCGCCTCCGACCCCTTGCCGCAGTCTGTCCATCCGCATCATGTCGTCGCTCGCGTTCTTCTTGCCCGTGCCGACGCGCCCAAGCTGGCCCTCCGTTGGCTGGCCTCGCTGCGCCCGACGGGGCCCGTCGCAGTTACCCGTGCCACCGCCGCCCTCGCCGCCAACAATCCCGCCGCCGCCCTCGCCATCATCAGGCCTCTCATCCGCGCTGGTGCTGCGCCTGCCGGGCCAGTCGTCTACGGTAGCGCTTGGCTTGTCCACGCTCGTGCTCTGCTTGTCGCCGGCCACCGGCGTGCTGCATGGGTCGCCTGTCTCGCACTTTACGACCTCGATCTCTCCCCTTCGTCGGTCGACGGCGCGCTGCACATGCTGATGGTCATTGCCACGCTTGAGCGCGTGCGTGCGTCGTACATGTCTGTGCGGGCGTCGCTCCTTGCCCACGCCTCGTGCCCGGGCTCGCTCGCCCTTACCGTCCTCAGTGGACTCATCTGGCGCCTTGCCGGCCTCGACCTTGCCACTGATCCGGTCCGCATCCTTGGCACGCGCCGGTCCGGCATCGAGCACGCCATGGAGGGATTCCCCTCGCGTGGCTGTGCTGTCGCCGCCACCGCTGCTCTCGCCGCCGACTACATCTCCGCTGCTGACCGCGACGACCCGGTCGAGTGGTGCACCCGCCGCGCAGCTGTCCTTGTTGCCGCCGCCGTCGCAGACTGCGCACGACAAGCCGCCGCGCGCTTGCGCGTCGACGAGAATATGTTCCTCGCCGTCGGCTCCGTCGACGCCGACGCCCCGCGTCCGCGCTCGCCCGGCGCCTCGACCTGGATCCTCGTCGACAGCCTCACCATCATTGCTGCCGCGCGCAACGCAAGCCTCTTCCCCCCGCCACCCACTCCTGCCCGCATCTCGCACTCGGCCGTCAAAGACTGGCTCATCCACGCCACCGTTGCCGCCGATGGCACAGTTGCCCTCCAGCACATGCTGGACAACCAGCTGCTCATTCCCTCGGGCTCCTCCTCTTACGAGCTCACTGTGTAGTGTGAGCGCCGCGACTTTGTTTACATCTAAAACGCTCGCCGGTGCAGCATTCAGTAGTCCGAGTCGTACTCGTACTCGCCGCCGCCGATGCCGCCGCCAGTGCTCGCGCCCGCCGACGACGACGCTGCTGGAGGTGCAGGCAGAAAGTCGGTGTCAATGGCACGGCAATTGGTCATGGCGTACCGGATCCGCTGCGCCATCACCGCTGCCGTCGAGTACGGCGGGAGGTTGATCGAGAAGAAGCAGGTGTGCGACTGCGGGAGGTGCCGGTCGGCGTCGTCGCCATCGTCGAGCACAAAGGCCTGGATCTTGAACTTTTCGTCAAACGCCGCCGACGACGACGGGAGGCGCGAGCGGCCCCAGACAAAGCGGAGGAAGAGCCGCCGCTCGGCGTCGCTAAACTCGTTCTCCATCACCTGCCAGAACAGAACCACGTGCGGCGAGTCGGCAGACACTCCCTTGGAATACATGGTGTTGGCCTTGAGCAGCGCCACGTCCACCGCTGCCGTTCCGCAGATCATCGTCTCCAACTCTGACGGCGTAAACAGCGGCAGCATCTCCAGGGGCACGATCGAACCGAGGCCCTCCTCTACCGCACGCATCTGCGTGTCGGCCTCGTGCAGTCGCGCCTCGAGCACAAGGTCCACAAACTCGAGCCGGTTCTCGTACGTCACCCGCTTCTCCGCCCCGCCGGGGCACAGCTCCACCCGCGACCCGTCCGAGAGCAGCGTGGTAAAGTCGTCCATGACGTACTCTTCAAACGCCTCGGGCTCGATGCCCCACACCTCGGTAAAGTCGCGGATGGCCGTGAGCGAGTTGACCACAGCCTCGTCCACCGCCCGCAGGTCCCACACCCCGACAGGCGCGCCCACAAGCGTTGCAAAGAAGCTCCGCGGGAGGTGCAGATCCAACGCAAACCGCGTCCGAATCGCCACCCCAAGCAGCTTGCCGAAGAATCGGAAAAGCTCGAGCTGCGCCGCGCTCGACGCCGACGGGTTGAGCAGGTACTTGTCGCGGTTCGACCCGATGGTGCCCACCGCGTTGGGCGACCGGATGAACAGCGGCAGATCGTCAGACATGATCTCTGCCACCGCGTCGGTGATGAGCTCACGGTACGGCCCACCCGAATCGTTGGCACCTTCGCGGAGGAACTGGACGTAGAATGCTTGTCCGTCCATAGCCCGGAGTACACGCGGGTTTTGCTTGTTCAGCTGCGCCGCAGCCTGCACAAACACGCAGTGCTCGGCCTTTTCTTCTGCCGTCACAGCCTGCTTGGCCGCGAGCCGATCAACCTGGATCCGTGCCTGTGTGTAGTGCGCTGTCGCCGAGAGGACAGACCGCAAGAGGGTGTTCTTGGTGCCAAAGAACAGCAGCGGCCGGAGATCGCCCACCAGTGCCGCCAGCGACACCCGGTTCTCCACTGCAGACAAGTCCACCAGCTTGCCCCACTCGGCAAAGAGCGTGTTGACGTAGCGGAGGACCACAAATCGCGCCTGAAGCGCGTCGCTCGGCACTCCGCCCAGCGCGCCAGCATACAGCTCGTCACGGTCTGCTTCATACGTCACAGACGCCAGCGGGAGCGCCGCGGGCGCCACAGACTCACGCGTGCACAGCGCGTTGACCAGTGCAACAAGTGCCTCGTCCGCCGCCCGGCTCCACACTTCCTCGCCCTCTGTCGGGCAGTGGTTCCACGACGCCTCGTCGACAGACTCGCCCAGCGGCGAGCTGCTTCCGTCGCCGGCGGGATAGCCCGACACGCCAAAGAACGCAATGTCCACGCTGCTTCCCGCCGATGGCCGAATGAGCTTGACCACCACGTACTTGCCTGCAGGCAGCTCGTCACTGCCGCCGGCCTTGGCCACCGCCATCTCGCCCGTGTCTGCGTCGCACGAGTACAGCGAGAGCATCGCCACAGGCAGCGTCTCGTCACGCGGCGCGTTGCTTGACGCCAGCGATGCAGCTGTGGTGCTTGCCGTCGCAAACACGTCGTTGGTCGCGTCGTTGTACTTGGCCAGAACCTCGAGGTCCGGCTCCTCGCTCATGACCCACACCAACACATCCTGCACTGGCCCGCGATTCGGGTAGCTCGGCGTCTTCATACGCAGCGCAGTGACCACCGCCCCGGCCTCGGGCGCCGTTCCGGCATACTTGAGCACCACGTCGACGTTGGTCGACTTCTCTGCCGCATACACGCTCCCGTCGTCGATGAGCATGTTGCCCACTTCCCCGGTCCCACTCTTGGCCGTCCCGCCCGAAGTCGACACCACTTCGTAGTTGAGTGGGCCGGCCTTGCGGAGCATGGCGCAGTACGACGCCGTTGCGTCGGCAAGGACTGAGCTGTCGAACCCGGTCTTGCGCTCGCGCAACGACTCCAGAAGCGACACAAATGTCTTGAACTTGCCGAACCACTCCAGCTCTGTATCGGCCGGTGCCGGTGCCGGAGCTGCGCTCACACTTGCGCCATTGTCTTGGCTCTCCTCCTTGCCCTTGCTCTTTGCGGCGCTGCCGTCGGCGCTAGCCTCGGCACTCGCGGCCACGCTCGCCTCGACCGAGTCGAGTGCAACTGCAAGCTCGGCGAGGTTCTGCAGGTACTGCGAGTAAAACTGCGAGCCGGTCTCTGACCGCATCCGCGAGCTCATGGACGCGTGGACCGTCGCCCGCAACTCGTCCAGTGGCAACTCGCTGGCTGCCTCGAACCGGTGCGCCGACCGCAGAAGGAACGTAAGGAGGCGGAGGACCCGGATCTTCTGGTTGAGCACCGTCACGCTCAGTGCAGACACAAGGAGAGAGAACACATAAGGCTTGTAGACCTGCCGCGCCAGGGCCGCCGTCGGCTCGGGCGCTGCCCCAGCAGCCTTCGACTCGAGCGCGTCCAGCAGTGTGGCAAGAACCCAGCACGCCAGCTCAACGTTGGGGAACGCGTCGAGCGCCGCGTCGTTCGACGGCAGCGCCGACGGCGAGACAATGAACCGCCAGCCCCACGACGATGCCGCGTCCGAAATCTCCATCGTCTGGGTGTACTTGAACCACATCTCCGAGCCCGGAACCACAAACGAGACAAAGCCGGCGCTGCTCCCGCCGCACTTGTGCACCGCAGTCTCGCACGAGGCGTCGCTGTAGAACACAAGCTCGTTGCCCGCGTTGCCGGTGCACGATCGGGGATCAAAAGTCACCAGCATGTTCGCTGCGTCCGGCACGCTCACGTGCGTTGGCCCCATCGACGCCGACGAGTTGACCGCGGGGTGGACCGAGGCAAAGGCCGAGACTCGCCCGGCTCCGCCGCCAAGGCCGTCGTCGAGATGCTCCGCCCGGTACAGCGTCCCGACCGCGTAGCGAACAAGCAACGTGCCGAGGGCCTCGCCGCCGGGGCCCGGAGCCACAACACCAGCCATCAGTGCTGGCCGCAGGTGCGTCAGCGGCGAGTCGACGCCAAACGGTGCCACCGCAGACGGATCGTTGGCCAGCGACGACGCCGTGAGGGAGAGAAAGTCCACCAGCTTGGTCGGGTCAGAGCCCATCAGCTCCGACAGCGCCTGCTGTGGCGCAGACGCAGCCTCAGCAAGGAGCGCGTGGACAGCCTTGCGGGTGTAGAGTGTACAGAGGGCGGCCTGCATGTCCGTCACCACCAAAGACACGTCGTCCACGCCCTCCATCGAAGGCCAGAGCACCTCGGTCTCGACGGCCGTCGTCCGCGCGCCGGCTATGCCTGCAGCGTCGAGGTCGTAGTACACTGCCCGGGTCACGCCCTCGTCACCGGCAGGCAGCTTGGCCGATCCACCGCTCTTCTTCTCGCCAAACAGGTCGCCAACTGCCATTTCGTCGTTGCCAGAGGCAGAGCTATCCTTGGCCTTGCCGTCCTTCTCGTTACTGCCCGACTTGTCCTTGGCCTTGGTCTTGCCACCCTTGGCACCCTTGCCCGACTTGCCCTTGCCTTCACCGGCTTCCTTGTCGGACGTCTTGCGCTGGCGCTTGTTGCGCCACCCGCGCTTGTTGTGCTTCTTGTGCTTGGTGCCCTTCTTCTTCGGCTGCTTGTCGGCCGCAGCCAGTGCCGCGTCCGCACCGTCGGCGGCGTCTGTGCCGTCAGTTGCCTTGACTGACTCGCCGGCACCCGTCGCCGCGGAGCTCGCATCGCCACGAGCAGCAGCGACGAGAGAGGCGTACGCCAGCACCTCGTTCTCCGACTCGGCTCCGGCGTGCTTGATGAGAAAGAGCGATGCCGCAGCCTCAGAGACGTTGCCCTCGGCTGCGGCAAGGTGCTTGGCAACCTGCACCGGCGGGAAGCCAAGCGCCTCGAGCTCAGCGACAGCCGCCGCTCGGAGCGCGTCCTTGGGCGCGGGTGTGGCTGCTGCAGTCGCATCAGCGCTCGACGCCGCCTCGGTAGCATCGGCCGCCGCCTTGTCAGCCTCGTCCGAGAGTGCCGCCAGTAGCCGTGCGCCGTCCGACGCCGAGACGTAGAGGACCGGAATGGTGATGGCAACAACTGGCTCGGCGTCGGTGTCGGCGACGGCATCGGCATCGACATCAGGCTTGGCACTCGGCTTGGCGTCTGCATCGCCCGAGCTACCGGTCGCCCCGTCGCCGTTGCTGTTTCCTGACGACGCGTCAACAGCAGCAGCCGGTGTTGCCGATGCACCCCACGAGCCAGCTGAGACCGGCTCGGCGCTCCAGTCGGTACTCGCTGGAGCGCCACTGTTGCTCGAGCCAAAGAGGCCCGCGTTGGACTGAGAGGCCACAAGCGAGGCCGGCTCGTTGGACGAGCCACCAAAGGTGGATGAGCCAAATGTGAAGCCACCGCTCGGCTGGCCGGAGCTCTGCGGCGGCGTGGCAAAGCCACCGCCGGCCACGGCCTTGATCGCCTCATCAGCGCCCAGGTCGGGCCCGAGATTGTCAGGCGGAAGGTCGTCGCTCGGACAGATGAGGACAACGCCAAAGGCGCCGGCGGCCTGGGCGGTAGCAATCTGCGCCTTGCGCTCAGCCTCGGTCGTGCGGTCTGGATCGATGGAGATAAGCGCAAGCTGGCCGGCGAGCGCCGCGCCATTCTCGAGGCCGTCGGTCGGCGCGGTGAGCGGCTCGGCAGGCACCAAGTCGAGCGCGGTGTCTGTCCACGCCTCAAGGTCGAGCCCGTTGAGCTCGTTAGCGACGTCAATGTAGCCGACAACCGCAAGCGGTCGATCGACCCGAAGATGCAGTCGCTTGCGCTTCACCTTTTTGCCGCCACCAAAGCTAAACCCGCCTCCGCCGCTCTCGTCGTCCGAGTCGGGCGGGACTGGAAGGCCCGACGACGAGTGCAGCCAGTCGAGGAGCGAGACGCGGCCCTTGCGAGCGCGGTCAAACTGGCCAAACTGCTCCTCAAGCTCGCGGCCCTCGACCTCGTAGCCAAAGAGCGGTGTGAGGTAGGCTTGGACGTCGGAACGGGTGATGTAGCCGTCGCCGTCGACGTCGACTGAGATAAACGTTTGGCGCAGGTCGTTGTACTCCTTCGGCGCCATGCCAGACTTGGCGAGGAACTCGTCGATGAGCTGCTCTGGCGTCTTCTTCTTCTTTGGACCCTGTCCGTCCGAAAGTGTCAGCGTCACACCAAGGCCCGAGGCCGACGGCAGCATAAACTGCTGCAGGTACAGCGCGCGCTCTTCGACAAGCGGCAGCGCCACGCCCTTGGTCAGCGAGGTGTGCGTGAGCGAGGCTGAGACCAGCAGCGGCGCCATGCCGGCCGACAGGAAACGCGCAATCGACGGTGGGTGTGAGAGGAGCTCGCCAAGCACTTGCAGCGCCGCCGACTTGAACTGGTAGTATGTAAGCGAGGCCGGCGAAGGCGGCTCGCTGAGGAAGAGGCCAAAAAGCGGAAGAAGCTCCGACGTGAGCGGGAAGAGGCCCGGGTCGACAGAGACCTCGGGAAGAATGGTGAGCTCCGAGACGGGGTACGACTCTGGGCTCAGCGAGGCCCGTGTCCCGTCAAGCGCCTCGTCCGCCAGCACCCGCGCTTCCTTGACGTTGCCGGCGGTGGCGATCGAGATGACAATGCCAGTCGACGTCCGGGTGGCATCCGGCCGGAGGAACTCAACTCGCCCGCCCGGCCGTGCACGGTCCGAGATGCCGCCCATGGTGTAGAGCGCAGCCAGCGCCGACCAGATGGCGACGTTGCCCGGCGAGGGTGCAACGGTAAGGAGGGTCGGCACCTGCGCCAGCGCCCCCGACATAAACGTCTGGATGGCACTGCGCCAGCTGCTCGACTTGAGAAGCGTCCGCAGAAGCATGACCACTTCAAGAATGAGATTCTTGTCAGCATCGTCGTCGTTGCTTGCTCCAGCGCCGGCTGCAGCAGCATCGCCGTCGGCGTCGCCGTCGCCATCGGCGACAGTTCCGTCAGGTGCCGACTCGGCCACGTCGCTGGACGACGAGACGATAAATTTGTCCACGACGGCGCCGATGCGGGCAACAAGGAACGGAACAATGTCGAGGCCTGCAGACGCCAGCGCGTCTGGCGCCATGCACGGGAGCATGGCACGAAGTGTGCGGAAGATGGCTTGTCGGGTCGCCGGTGAAGCCGCCGGTGCCACCAGCACGTCAAGGACAACCCGGAACTTGTCCGGTGCATCGAGGAGGTAGGCGTGGAGGAGCGGCGACTTGGCAGCAGCATAAAGCGTGCCGAGGAGCGACGACGGCGTGTGGCCGTGAAGAATGTCGTCGTAAACGCCGCTTGGCACCCCAAGGCCTTGGAAGACCTTGGCGAGGACGGTCCGAACGCTGGTAGTGCTCACATCGCCATCGGCTGTAGACGCAGCAGCAGTCGGCTTGCCCTTCAGGGCGACCACGGCGAGGTGGTACCGGATGACTTGGCAATCGCCGCTGCCACGACATCGGCACCAAACGGCAAGTTGAGGTCGAGAAAGGCGTCGTCGAGGCCGGCGCAAAGGCCCGAGGTGAGCCCGTCGCGAAGGTCGTCAAAGATGGTGTCGAGAACAACAGTGCGGAGCGCGGCAAGGATGGATGTGGCCTCGAACGGATGCGTGTCGGCGAGGCGGGCTGACGACGGCTCGGCAATGCAAGTTGCGGCCAGAGTCTTGAACATGGTGCGCGCCGCGGAGCGAAGCGAGAGCGCCGCAGCGAGGCCAAAGACTGGCTCGAGCACAGACGCGAGCTCGGCGTCGGGCAACGGCCCGTCGCTTGCGGGAGCAGACGGCTCCGACTCGGCCGCCGCTCCGGCAGCGGCCGCGGCGTGTGAGAGCGTAGACGCCGGAGCCGGTGCAGTAGCAAGGTGCCACAGCGTGGCCATCACGCCGGATGAGAGGAGCAGGTTGCGGTCCGAGGGGAGGAAGCGGAGGTTGAGCGCGGCCAGCGCAGCGGCCCGGACCGGCGGCGCGGTAGCGTCGTCGCCGACAACAGTGTTGACAGCGGCAAGGAAGGTGGCAAACGCGTCTTGGACCGCGTGGAGTTGGGTCTGCGGCGCGGTGGTGAGCGCGTCAAGGTGGTGGACGCCGGTCGAGGCCGAGCGAACCGAAACATCGAGCGAGTCGCACGAGGGGCGGAGGAGATCGTAGACAGCCGAACGGATGGTGACGTCGCGGATGAGTGTCGCAAGCGTAGCGTAGCCGGCAGCACGGGTCTGCGCCCGCTCGCTCCGGGTGGCAACAACCGAAGCCAGGTCCGCCACGTTGAGCGGAGTGCGGAGAAAGACATCGAGCTCGTTGCAAAGCGCGTCAGCTGCGTTCAGGTCAAACGCCGCAAAGCGGGCCTCGGCATGGCGCCAAGACGCGAGGACCGAGTTGGCGGCGGGAACAAGCGCGCCAAGCGTCGGGTTGCCGCGGACAGCGGGTGAGTTGGCGGCGTCATGCGGTGGGAGCGCAGCTGGCGCATAGGAGAGGAGGAACCTGGCCTTGCGCACAATTTCGGCCGCAAAGGAGCGGTCGCTGGCGGCGGAAGTGGCGGTAGCAGCGCCGAGGTCCGAGTCGGCGGCGCGCTCGAGATCCCGGGCCGACTCGCGGTCCTCGTACTCGCGCATGACCCACTTTTTGATTTTGTGGGCGCGGCGCCAGAGGTGGAGCAGCGGCTTGGGCATGGCCGGGCGGAGAGCAGCGTTGTCGCCGGCATCGGCAAGGGCCGCGGCGTAGACAAGAGTGTCGGGCAGGAGGCCGGTGTGGTAGATGGCGGCGGCGAGGACGGCACGCTCGACAAGAAAGTCGATGGGTGCACCGCGGGCCTTCTTGCCGAGCGAGACGCCGGTGGCGTTGGCCTGAGCCATCTCCAGAAACATGGTAAAGCCGGCGGTGGCCGGTGAAGCCGTCGGCTCGGACGCGAGCATGTCGTCAAGGAAAGGCGAGTCGGGCGGGGAACCGGCGTAGCCGCGGGCCAGCAGCGGCGACGCCAGGAGCGACTTGAGAGCGGCCTCTTCGTCGGTGAGTGGCGCGCCGGCGACCGAGACAGCAGCGAGCGAGCCGAGGGCCCAGCCGACGTTCTTGAGCAGGTCAAGCGAGAACGGGACCGGGCCGATGACGTCGGGCAGTTGGGCCGAGACGGTGACCGACCAGCCGTAGTGCGAGTACGAGTATGGGCCCGAGGTAAAGTAAAAGTACACAGTGTCGCCCGGAATGGTGACCGGCTCAGCCGGGAACGACGACGAGCCCTGGTTGTACGCGCCGGAGAACCGGTAGAGGTGGTTCGAGTGGTGCGCAGCCTGGTAGATGTCGAGGTAGTCGGAGCCGCCCTCGGTCCGGCACGACTTGGAAAAGATGAGAGTAAGAGACGTGGCGTTGGGGATTGTCACCTTTTTGTCGACCCGGGCATGGGTCGGGTAAGGGTGGAGTGACTCTTCGACAATCGACTTGGTGTAGGTCGAGGCGCGGGCGGTGAGGAGCTCAGCGTCGGTCTCGGCAATGCCCGGGATGCGGGCGTTGAGCGTGTCGAGTACGGTAAAGAGTGCGACAAGGCGCGGCGAGAGCTTGGCCGCGAGAGCCACCGACGAAGCGACGAGGACCGGGAGCGCCGAGACAAGGCCTGGGAGAATGGTGGGGACAAACGAGGCGCGGAGTGCGGCGCCGTGCGAGGCCGAGTCTGCAAGAGCGGCATTGTCAGGCGCGGCAGCGACGACGGCAGTGACAACGTCTGCCGCGGCGCCGAGGAGGTCCGAAGCGAGGGTGACGGTGGCGTCAAGGAGGTCGCCGGACGAGGCCGTGGCACGAGCGAGGAGGTGGGTGAGGAAGGAGAAGAGCATACGGGCGGCGGTCGACGGTGCTGGCGGCAGGTCTGAGGCGTCGGAAGACGGAGCCGGCGGCGAAGCCAGGAGGCCCTCGGCCTCGGCACGGATGATACGGATGAGATTGTGAATGATGGTGGCAAAGGCCGGTGGGAGGCTCGGCTTGCCAGTGAGGGCATCGGTGAGCGGCGCGACAAAAAGGTCGGCGACGGTCGCGGGCTCTGCAAAGTACTCGAGGACGGCGGCGACGAACGGGTCGGGCGAGGCAGCGGCCGGATCGACCTTGGCCAGGGTGGAGCCGAGGAGGAGGAGACGGTCCTCGCGAGTGGGATAGAACGCGTTCATGCCCATCGTGAGGACGCCACAGGCCTCGTCCTGGATCCAAGCATGCGAGTGCGAGGTGAGGGCGACGAGCTCGTTGCGAATGGTGGCAAAGACCGAGGGCGAGCCGTCGAGGCGCGACGGCTTGGTGGCGCTCGAGCTGCCGGTGTCGAGGCGCGCCGGCCGCTTGCGCGATGACGGAGCGCCCGAGCTGGCATCAGTGGCCGGAGCGTGAGCTTGCGGAGGCTTGCGGAGAGCGGCCGTGAGGGCGGCGTGGAGCTTTTTTCCGCGTCCGAGCTTGTTGTCGGCGAGCAAGACGCAGTCGGTGAGCGAGAGAAGGGCCAGCGCCTCGCCGTCGAGCTCGTGCTCGATGGCAAGCGGCGGGAAGGACTCGTTGAACGGCGGCGGGAGAAGGTCAGCAGATGCAGCGGCGACGTCTGCCGCTGAGAGTGAGGCCCAAGTGAGGGTAGCCGGGCTGGCGCCGCCAGCGGCAGAAGCAGCAGCAGTCTCGGGCAGCGGCTTGGAGTCAAAAGCTTCCAGCGGATAGCCTGAAGAGACCAGAACGGCAAGATTGACCTTGAGCAGTCGGAGAACAGCCATGGTGAGATAGCCGGCAGTGGCGAGGTCGTCTGGAACGGGAGCAGTGGACGGGAGGGCGAGGACGCGCGGGAGGGCGGCAGCAAAGCGGCGAAGAAGCGAAAGGAGGAGCGCAAAGGTTGACGGGTGGAGCTGGACGCAGAGCTCGCGGCAGAGCGAGGCCGCGGTGGCGGCCGACGAGGAGGCAGCGACGGCGGACAACGTCGGAGCGGCGTGGGCGGCGGCGGCGGCCGGTGGCGGGGCGTGGTGAAGGGCGATGCGATCCGCGTGGCGGAGGAGGACATAAGCGACGTCGGCCGGTGAGGCAGCCGGCGGGAGGTCAGCAGCTAGGGCCGGAAGCGCGGCTGGGACGTCGAGCGGATGGAGCGGGAAGCGGGCGGCGGCGGCGGTCTCGGACGAGACCGGAAAAGTGAGGGCCGGGCGGAGCGGGCCACAAGCCCAGCGGAAGACCTTGCGCGTGCCCGGAGCGTAGTTCCAGACGACGTTGGCGTCGGCATCGTAGACGGTCGGCATGCCCTGCGGGTTGAGTCCAGCGTCGGTGTGGTCCAGGAGTGCACCTGACGCAAGCGACCACTGGCGGGTGGATGCGTGATTGGGGAAGCCATCGTGAAGCTGCTTGTTTGGCGGAGCGAGGATGGCCACGCACGAGCCGTTGCAGTAGAGCGCGCCGTAGTTGAGGACGGGTGTCGGGAGGGCGAGAGGGCCGGCAGTGGCGCAGAACGTGAGCGGCACGCTCCCGCTGGAAGAGGCCGGGCTGGTGGCGGTGTGCGTGGCGACCGGCGCCGGGTCGAGGACAGCGGCGATGGACATGGTGACCGACTCGGTACGGGTAAAGTGGACAGTGTCGCCGACGGCATCGCGCGGGCCGTGGGTGTTCGAGTTGTACTTGACAAACGAGGGCGAGGTGCCCGGAACGTTGCGGTCGTAGTAGACCTGGCCACGGTCGATGGCCCAGCGCCAGCCGATGCAGTCGCCGGGGAGAACTGCAATACGCTCGTCGGGAGGAATGTCAAAGACCTGGAGGCCGGAGATGGTCTCGACCTCATTCTCGCCAACAAGGACGTAGTGGTCGCCGGCGACGCGGCGGTAGACCTGGAAGACAAAGTTGCCCTGGCCACGGCCGGCCATGCACCAGGCGGCGACCTTGCCCGGCGCGTGAAAGACGAGCGAGGTGTCGACGGCGATGCGGGTGTCGGTGTTGTAGCACTGACGGGTGGAGAGGACATGGCCGACGAGAGTCTCTGAGCCGGAGAGCAGCGTCGACGCGATGTGCTTCATGGGTGGATCCGAGAGCGGGTCAAAAGTAGCGACGACGACGCGAGGGTTTGCAGCTCCCGGCGCTGCCGGGTTCGGACCTGCACTGGAGCTGGCGGGGCCGGCCAGTGATGTGGCAGCGTCGTCAGATGAGCCGGCCGATGGCGGTGGGAAGGTGATGCTCTGCGCGCGGGCGGCCGAGGCCGAGGTCGGAGTCGGGGTGACCGGCGGAAGCGCGTCAGCGGCGCCCGACACGGCCGAGCGCGACTCGCCAGCAACGGCCGAGGCAAGCGCCGAGACCGGCGGCGCGTCTGGGGCATAGCCATAGACAGCCATGGCGACGTAGATGTAGCGGCCGTCGGTGGTTGCCGGCGAAGCAAAGGTCGGCGGCGAGGCCTTGGGCTCGGGAGTAAACTCGGCAGGAAGCCAGGTCTCGGAGGTCGGATCGGAGGCGACCGAGCCCGAGCCGTCAGGCAGGATGGCACCAATGTCGGCGAGGTTTGAGGCTGAGAGGACAAGAAAAGCTGCTGGCGCGATGCTAGCAGAGCGGTAGTAGAGCTTGTCACAGACACAAAGGAGCGAGGCAGCGTCGGAGGCGCGGAAGAGCGGGCGGGCAGCATAGACGTGGCCCTGGATGGAGCCGTTTGCTCCGGTGCCGATCTTGGCGAGCCCGTGGGCGTCGTGGATGTAGAGGTAGGTGCCGTCGGTGGCGATGGCGCCCGGCTCGCGGAAGGCCGCAGGTGTATCGGCCGAGGCCGCCGAGCCTTGCGAGCCAGCAGCGGGGGCGGTGTACTCGTTAGAGAACGAGAGAGCGGCCTTGGCGTCGAGAGCAGCCAGCGGAATGTGTGGGTTGTAGCTGGCGAGGCGGCCGAGGTAGGTCGAGACGTCAAGCGGAGCCGCAGGCGGGGCAGTGAGGAGAGTATGGGCCACAAAGAGCAGCTCGGTGAACGAGCCCTTGGCGAGGGCGACGCCAACAAGGCCGGCGAGGGCGGCCGACTTTGCGCTCGGCGGGGCCTGAGGCATGTCGAGCGTGTGGTGCATAAAGCCAACCAGCGCGTCGACCGCCGGCTCGGGTGCGCCAAGATAGAGGCCGAGCAGCGGAATGGTGTGGAGGAGGGCATCAAACGAGGCAAGGGTCTCGAGGCCGACGTCCGGGTCGGCGCGGGCAGCGGCCTTGAGTAGGGTGACCAGGACGCCGAGCGAGGTGTGGATGCCAAGTGCGCCGTCAGCGGTGACCGCTTGCGAGGCCGACGCCAGCGGAGCACCGATGGGCCGAGTAGCAGCGTCGGGCAGCGGGCGGAGCGGGGCGGTGGCAGCCGCAGCCGCAGCGGAGCGAGCCAGAGCCTGAGCCAGGCGGCGGAGGAGGGTGGCCCGTAGGAGGACCAGCTGGGTGTAGAGGGTGGTGGAAGCGGTGGAGACAGTGACTTGCTTGCGCATGGCAGCAGCGGAGCGGCGGGCCGATGGCGGAATGAGGAACTCTGCCGCGGCCGCCGCCAGAGCCGACGAGCCAAGGGCGGCCATAGTGGCCTGAGGCACCGAGCCGTCGTTGAGCTCAGGCGACGACGAGGCCGGCGAGCGGTATGTGGCAACAGCCTCTGCCACAAACTTGGGTGCGGCGAGGGATGATGGCGTAATGAGGGAGACCAGCAGGGAGTCCTGTGCGAAGGGGGTGAGGGGTGAGGGGGAGGGGGGG